TGCACCTGTAGTTCCAGGAAGGGTGAGGAGGAAGGATCACCGGAGCCCAGTGGGTCGAGGCTGCGGTGGCTGGGAGTGGCCACTGCACTCCAGTCTGGGCGACAGAGTGAGACTCCAACTCAAAAATAAAATAAATAAATAAAAATAAAATAAATAAAATAAAAATAAAAATGTCAAGAAATTATTGACCATTTACTGGCCAGGCACTGTCCTAGGTGTTTTACATGATTATCTCATTTAATCCTTACTATACGTTTCCCCAGTTGGGACCCATTATACAGATGAGGATATGAAGCCTGAAGTCACATGCCCACAACTTCAAAATGGTGACCATGCTTATGCCACATCCTACCTCATACTTGATCACAAGATTATCTGGCTAAGATTAGAAAGGTTTGTAGACTTATTTTTTACTTACTTTGAGGCAAACATATTCCACGCTTTGCCCACAATCATATCAAGTGGTTTTATTAAGAACTGGCTGTTGCTGACCAATGCTGCAGACTTCTCGTATTTTCTGAAGGCACGCTGAGTTTTCCACACATTAAAAGCATTAACAGGCTGTAACCAGGAAGTATAGAGAGCTGGATCTTTAAATCCCTCTAAGTAAAAACAACACAAGGCATTCTTTACAGCATAAATTAAAAACTGGGAAATAAATGATAAAATAGGTACATTCTTGCCCATTTGATTAGAAAGCTTTTATTCTGCAGCTGAGCTCAATGACTCAGCCTGTAATCCCAGCAATTTGGGAAGTCGAAGCAAGTGGATTGCCTGAGTCTGCAGGTTTGAGACCAACCCGGGCAACTTGGCGAGACGTCGTCTCTACAATAAATCAATAATTAGCCGGGTATGGTAGCATGTGCCTGTAGTTCCAGCTACTTGGAAGGCTGAAGCAGAAGGATCACCGGAGCCCAGCAGGTTGATGCTGAGGTGGTTGTGAGCGTGCCACTGCACTCCAGTCTGAGTGATAGAGTGAGACTCCAACTAAAAAAAAGAAAAATGAAAAAAGAAAAAGAAAGCTTTTATTTTGCCTTTTTTTTTTGGTGTGCGTGTGAGAAAGCAGGATCTACTGAGAGGACAGAAAAAGCTCCCACAATGAGAGGGGACTTGAGGGGTTGCCCCCTATTTTGCTTTTTAAAACCTGCATCACTGGAGGCAGTGGTTCATGCCTGTAATCTCGGTACTTTGGGAGGCTGAAGCGAGAGGATTGTCTGAGCCCAGGGGTTCGAGACCAGCCTGGGCAACTTGGTGAGACCTCGTCTCTACAATACATCAAAAAATTAGCCAGGCATAGTGGCTCACGCCTGTAGTTCCAGCTGCTTGGAAGGCTGAGGCGGAAAAATCGCCTGAACCCAGCAGGTCGAGGGTGCGGTAGACTGTTTCGCCTTCCAAGTAGCTGGAACTACAAGCATGTGCCACCACACCTGGCTAATTTTTTTTATTTATTGTAGAGATGAGGTCTCACCAAGTTCCCCAGGCTGGTCGTGAACCCTGGGCTCAGGCAATCCTATCGGCTCACAGTCACCCTAGCGTCAACCTGCTGGGCTAAGGCGATCCTTCCAAGTAGCGGGAACTACAGGTGCATGCTACATGCCTGGCTATGTTTTTTTGAGTTGGAGTCTCACTCTGTCGCCCAGACTGGAGTGCAGTGGCTGCTCCTG